CTCCCCACCAATATAGAATTATAGAATATTGATATGTCTTTAATTAAAAAGGTATATATTGGATCAAAATATTATTTATTTTACCAATATTTCAGTTGGCTGAATGCCAACCTTTTTCAAGGTATTACAACATACATAAACACACATTAATAACATAATACACATTAATATGTTATAATACCTTGAAAAAGGTTGGCATTCAGCCAACTGAAATATTGGTAAAATAAATGCTATTTTGATCCAATATATGTCTTTTTAATTAAAGATTTATTTATGGACTGCTCTATTTTGAAAATGTGTGTATACTTCTTCTTTCTTATCTCCACTCAATCATATTAGGGTATCAAGCTTGTAGAGCCTTGACAACCATCATGACTGGGTGAATTAGAATGTGTTTGCCTTTGTCATTAAGACTGGAAGCACTACTCAGTGGCGGGCCGACTTAGCTCCAATATGAAATGGCCGCCTCTGACATGAGGGACAGACACCATGTGCAGCCGCTCCTAACATGGAGTACAAACGCTGCTCATCCTGTATCCCTGGATCAGGAGCCCTTACATGGTACTATCAGCCGGACCAGCTGAGCCCAGGTTTTTTAGTGAGCTTGTTACTGCTCCCCCTCCTCCTTTTTCATCCGGGCTTGGGACCGGCCGGAGTTATGTGTGTATACTGAAGGCTGGTTATGTGGCAGCTACTGGAGCAGCGGTGCTCGGACATCTCAGTGATGGTACAGAAGCAAGCCACCATTAGCCTCACCAAGCTGGTGAAGCACCATCCAGAGAGAGTGGGTCCGGCCTGGGCCCAGGGAGTGTTGCCCCAGATGACCACCCTAGAGCCCACACTGCTGGACTTGGTAACAGAGTCCGTGGACCTCATCCTAGTGCAGCCTCTCCACAGTGAGCACCCCACCTGGGATCTCCTCTCTCAGCTCAAGGACAAGGGGATGGGTCTCTACCTCTCCCTCATCTTCGGGAATCTCGCCAGAGATATGACAGTACGGTAAGTACTCTTTTATACTATTTTTCATTGCGTATGATTCTTTTTGATAAAAAAATAATTTTTTTTGGACGGTCGGTGGAAGGATGATCTAAATCGTTGGTTTTTAATCGTTACGACCCGAGTTTGATTCCCGCATTGGGCACTTTTTTTCTAATAAAAAAAATGCTCCGATGACCACCGATTTTTGCAAAAGTCCAACCCCACCAGCAAGTGCAAGTAACCAAACGGGGCTCTGGCACATTTGTATGTGCAAAGTTGAACTGCTTTTCACATGTGTAGACATGTGGTGCACTTACAGTAAAAGCAGTCGCTAACTTCTTCCAAACATGATTATCATGGCCTCTACCACGTGTACTAGGGATAAGCAAAAAAAAAGATAATAATAATAATTTATCGCCTTTCCTGCAATGATTTTAAAATATATATATTATCCCATTGTATAATTATACAAGGTCATGGAGACTATATTTATTGATCAAATTCACAATCTTGGTAGGGTTGGAATATAGGTCCTGTCTTGAGGCTCCCATACATTCCAATAGGTTGTCTTCAGGCTTTACTACAATGATAAATTCACACACACACAAAAACCTTTATTAAGACACACAGGTCTTACAGAGGATTCTCCTTGGGGTTACAAGACGGAGAAACCTATGAAAGTGGGAAATATACAAAGGGGTAAAAATGGAAAAAGATTATATACACATGATAAATATATACAGATTATTATTTGAATGATCCTATAGAAAATAAGAATATGGATTTGGAAATATGGATGGAAGAAGTGGAGAGCGAAAAGAGGAAAGAAAACAGGTATTTACATATGGAACATACATATAATGGAACAAGTCAATTTAAGCTCACACAGCACAGGTGGACCATGGCTTTTTTCAAGAAATCTTTAAGAGATTTTCCAGGAAAATCCGAGTGTTCAGAGTTGTATACAATGATAAATTAATGGGGAGGCCTGGCTCATCAGTGATGAACCCTCCCAGAGGTTTCACCTGTCTAATCTACCATACCGCTGTAATATTGCTTTGGAACATTTTACTTTTATACTGATACCAAAGCTAAACTCTTGGAAATTGTATTCTAAATGTCCATATTTCATTCAAAAGAATAAAAAGAGGATAATTTTTTAAACTTCTAATTCTAAGAATAATATTTTAGGTTTTCCTAGAAAGCTATTTTCTTCTTATCAACTATATTTTATTTACATACTTGAAAACGTACTGTTTAAGAACACACTGTGTTATTTTTTCTCATTCAGTACTTTTGTCTCATAATGGTAACAATGCTGTTACCGAAATGTCACACATTATTTATTTGGATTTGGTCTTGTCATTTTCAGTACTTTTTTCTGATGATGGTAACAATACTGTTACTGAAATGTTACCCACTATGTATTTGGATTTGGTCTTGTCATTCTGTACTTTTGTCTGAGGATAGTAACAACACTGTTACCGAAATGCCACACACTATTTTATTTATTTGGATTTGGTTTTGTCATTCAGTACTTTTGTCTGAGGATAGTAACAATGATGTTACCGAAATGCCACACACTATTTATTTGGACTTGGTCTTGTCATTCAGTACTTTTGTCTGATGATGGTAACAATACTGTTACTGAAATGTTACCCACTATGTATTTGGATTTGGTCTTGTCATTCTGTACTTTTGTCTGAGGATGGTAACAACACTGTTACCGAAACGCCACACAATATCTATTTGGATTTGGTCTTGTCATTCAGTACTTTTGTCTGAGGATAGTAACAATGATGTTACCGAAATGCCACACACTATTTATTTGGACTTGGTCTTGTCATTCAGTACTTTTGTCTGAGGATAGTAACAACACTGTTACCGAAATGCCACACACTATTTTATTTATTTGGATTTGGTTTTGTCATTCAGTACTTTTGTCTGAGGATAGTAACAACACTGTTACCGAAATGCTGCACACTATTTATTTGGATTTGGTTTTGTCATTTAGTACTTCTGCCTGATGATGGTAACAATGCTGTTACTGAAATCTCACACACTATTTATTTGGATTTGGTTTTGTCATTATGTACTTTTGTCTAAGGATAGTAACAATGCTGTTACCGAAATTGCATACACTTTTTTTTTTTCATTTGGATTTGGTTTTGTTACCTTGTGTGTAACTATTCACAAGTCCACAGTCCATGGGTTGAATGAGGCAATGTCCACCTGGTGTGCAGGAGAACTCTTCTCAAAAAGATCCGTATAGCTCTGTGGAGGGGACACGAGCCGATCCTCTGGTTCCTGGGAGACATATTGACCAGTGATGTCAAGAAATCTCCCATCATCCTGATGAAGCTGGCTTTGAGATCCTGGTGCAGCCGCAGCTCCAATCTCCATCATATCCTCAAGGTGCTCACCCACACTGCCTCCAGACTCTCTAGCGATCAAAAGAATGAACTCTCAAGTATGTATTTTATTCCCTTTTCTCCTCTTATATATTTACATACCTACCATGGGGTTCGCTCAAGTTTTTCATTTCAGCTGGAAAATAAAAAAACTAACCAAGCCACCAAAAAAAGTTATTTATGGAAGTCAATACAAGAATCAATGCAATGTATGGGAAGACAATGCATGGTCAAAACATTAGCTTCAACACAATAAAAGAACCAAACATTTCACCCCATACATTAGAAAATGTAAGAGCTTGAGGCCATTCCATGGCAAGTATCCAGCATTTTCTTCCTTTCTCCGTATCCTTAAGATCCAAAAGTAAGTTCTGTGAAGCTACACTGTTTACCTGTCACTTGAAGCGAAGGTTTTCTTACAGTACTTAGCATCTCTATCTTTAGCTGATATTTTGTCTTCTTTTTATTTATCTATTTTTGTTGACAAACTTCACTACAACCAGATAAACACAAGGTAATAAGACCAAATCCAAATAAATAATTAGTGTGTGACGTTTTGGTAACAGCGTTGTTACCATCTTCAGACATAAGCTGTTACAGAAACGTCACACACAATTTATTTATTTGGATTTGGTCTTATTACCTTGTGTTTATAATCAATAATCCAAATTGTGCCTTATCATTACAATCAGATACTTTACCTCTTTGGTTTACTGCCATTCTAACCTTTGTACGATTTTAATATGAGTTATACTTACTATGCATATGGTTGTTCCTTATCCCCTTATGTAAAGATTACACAATTTTCATGAGTTCATGCTCCTCGAGCTATATTTCATGGAATAGGGTATAGGGGTACAGCTTTAGTTGATCATAATACCATGATCCAGGCACACTTTGATGAAAGTCTGACTTTGCCTGTAATTTGAGGCTGTTCCTAACATGGAAGCCTTTGCTGTAGACTCTAACATGAGCACAGACGTAGCTCCTCTGTACCCCCAGAAAGAGACGGTATAGTTTTTGGCACATAAAAGGTGACCTTTCTTTTATATATTTTTTATATATGCCCGTAATTTGAGGCTGTTCCTAACATGAAAGCCTTTGCTGTAGACTCTAACATGAGCATAGACGTAGCTCCTCTGTATCCCTGGAAAGAGACCCTTGCAGTATAGTTTTTGCCACTATTTTGACACATGAGAGGTGACCTTTCTTTTCATAGATCAAAATATCCTCTCGGGAAAAATTCCCATCTATATTTCAGCCATAAAATTGGCCACTTTTCCCAGCTAAACATCTCTTTGACAGATTCTGAAGTTTTCAGGAATCTCTCATGGATCTATATATCTCATGAAATATACACCTTCCTACACTGATGAGGGTCATAACCCAAAATGATGATTTTTCAAGTGGACATTCTGTAATTGCCAAAACAGGTGTTGAGATTTTGTCACTGACCTGAGTCTGATAGTTTGTAGAGACGGGTCAAAATATTTGCATCTATTGGACAGAAGAGGTGACATTTCTTTTAGAGATCAATATCCTCCTGGTAAATAGAAGTGGAAAGACTTTGATGTTGCCGGTCGTCTATTTTTTGGAGACAGAGGCAATTTTGTTCACACTTGGTTATCTCATGGTTAAACCGTTTGGTTTTCGACCACTACGACCCGGGTTCGATTCCCGCATTGGACACTTTTTTCTGTTTAAAAAAAAAAATGCTCCAATGGCCCCCCGATTCTTGCAAAAAGTCCAACCCCACCAGCGAGTGCAAGTAACTAAACGGGGCTCTGGCACATTTGTAAGTGCGATGTCGAACTTCTTTCACATGTGTAGACATGTGGTGCACTTACAGTAAAAAGCAATCGCTAACTACCCACCATGATTATCATGGCCTGTACCATGTGTACTAGGAATAAGCAAAAAAAAAAGTGTCTTCAATAAAAGTCACTGTAATATCTTTCAGAGTTATTGTTTCAATCCCGATATGCATGTTAAAAGTTACAACTACCTTAAGTGTTGTCCATGAGTGTATACATACAACATAAAGTTGTAGGTGAATGGTATTCATATACCAATAGAGGGATCTCTCCATTTAAACTATGCACTTCGTTTATCATCCCATTAACCAACTTTTGGTACGTAATACAATCCTTATTGAGGGTGTTCTTCTCAATATAGATTGCTGTCACCTTGAGAGACAACCTAGTGTCCAGCTACTTGACCAGCTCCACAACTCCAAGGAAGAGGCTCTAAGGAAGACTATCAACAGTCCAAAAACTTATCCAGAACTCATTTTTATTGAAAAACACCCTCAATTTATACATTAAAGCAATTTACATACTAATTTATCTAAAGAGACAAAGGTCACCTCTCGCGTCAAAATAGACGTCAAAACTAGACGCCATCTATTGACCGTCGCCCCAAACTAGCAGCCTCGGGTCGGTGACAAAGCCATGGTCTCTAGGTGGACGCTTTTCAGTTTGCCAAAGCTGGTGTTGTGGCTTTGTCATCGACCCGAGGCCGCTAGTTGCGGCGATGGTCAATAGATGGCGTCTAGTTTTGATGTCTATTTTGACGGGAGAGGTGACCTTTGTCTCTTTTAATCAATATCCTCCTGGCAAAATTTCCATCTATACTAATTTATATATTTGTAGGATTGTTTGTTGCGTGATGTGTTGGTGTGGCTTGTGGAAAGGCTGCTAATAGAATTATAATTAAAATTAATTTATTTAAACCCAGAAATATAAAAAGAGAAAAGAAGCAACGGTTGAAGTAACGGCCGTTGGAGCAAGCCTAGATGTTTACCGCGTGAGTGCCAGATCAAGTGTCGGAAGCACCAGCCGCTAGAAAGTTCCGGATGACGCCCGCGCATGCGTAGTGAAGTGTTCTCCCAACACGTGTTTGCCGAGGCAAAATGGGGCCGCCAAGCTTCTGCCTGTATGTGTTTTGAAGCTTTGTCCCAGTTCGCTGAAGCAAAGTGCGGTCGCCACATATCAAAAGAAATTTACATACTTTTTTCTCTTAGTTTTTAAGTTACAAATATATTTACATAAAAATAAAGTTGACTATTCTAGTAGTCGTAACAATCCTCTCTCAACTTTATATTGTATTCTGAACAGAAAGTTGGCTCTTACCACTTCAGCTTAGACATCTTTTTGGTAATGATAAAGCACAATTTGAATTATAGATACAAGAAAATTTTCTTGTATCTTTTTGGTAAATTTGACCGATTTCATACCTTCTCCCATAGGATGTTATGAAGTTAAAGCCGCCCCTGTACTGATGAGAGCCATAGCTCAAAACCATGGTATACTGGTTGTTGACTCTTTTGTCTGAATTTTCCAAAACTCTCATGTAGAGCCTCTTTCTTCATTGCCACTATGTTTTATATTGGAGTGCTAAAAACAAAATGCATTGTTTAAATGCATACAAAAAGTCATGGATGAGTGGGTAACACCCTCGATTCCCCACAGCCATGAACTGGGATTGAATCCTGTGTTAACGTTTTGTTTAATATGTGAATACCCTTCATATATTATTCATTGTTGCAATAATCATAAACTAGGTTGTTCTTTTTGAGAGGTACCTAATAAAATGATTTTGGAACCAGGTTAAATGCCTATATAAAGGGAGAGATGTGTTTGTCACATCTATATCTTCATGATTTGAGTTCACACAATTTGAATAAGAATCCCTTGAATCAATAATAAAATACAAACATGGAGGCCTGATGTTTGTCACATCTGTCTGTGTATCTCCAACATGCTGTGGCTCTGCAGGTGTCCTGGAACTCCAGATCACCAAGATGGACCTGCCCATAACAACCATTCCTTCAGCTGTCGAAGCCCTCTCCAGGATCTGCCCCACCAGTCACTTTGAGGAGTTTGCACTGGCCACCTTGGAGGTATAGACTGGAACCTCACCCTATATATTCATAGTCTTGTACAGGTCTTGTAGATATTGACAGTCATGGAGATAGGGCAAAGTTGGGGGATTTTTTTTTTTTTGCTTATCCCTAGTACATGTGGTACAGGCCATGATAATCATGGTGGGTTAAAAGTAGTCTACTGCTTTTACTGTAAGTGCACCACATGTCTACACGTGTGAAAAGCAGTTCGACTTTGCACTTACAAATATGTCAGACCCCCGTTTGGTTACTTGCACTCGCTGGTGGGGTTGGACTTTTGCAGTGTAAACACAAGGTAATAAGACCAAATCCAAATAAAAAATAGTATGTGACGTTTTGGTAACAGTGTTGTTGCTGAAACGTCACACACTTATTTGTTTATTTAGATTTGGTCGTATTACCTTGTGTTTATAATGTATAATCCAAATTGTTCCTTATCACAGTACAGTGTAGTGTCCATAGTGTCAAACACAGGAATGAATAGATACAATTGGATAAAAGTAGGAATGAGACTGAACCTAACTCATGGCATTCATTCCAGTAAGTTCAGTTTGGTGCGATCTTGTGTAGCAGAGCTAACCTTTCTAAACTTCTTGCTGTCCAGCAACCAACTGAATGATAGGTCCCTATTCCCACCAAAATAGCCATTTTTCTTATAATCTCCGACAAACATTAGGATTGCTAAAAAAAAGAGATATCACCCCCTAAATCAATACAGTAGAACCTCTATGAGAGGACACCTCTCTGTAAAAGACAGTTTTCATTTATAACACAATATAATGTGGCTTATGATTGTAGAACATTTGAAAATTATCCCGCATGTGTTTCTTTTGAACGAAAAATTGAAATTTATTTTAAGGAGAAATAATGATTATTTATAACCTTAGGGATGAAGTATGAAAGGATGAATTGTGAAGAGTAATGATAAACGAAAAAATAAAGTGTCCAGGGATGGGAATTATCATTACTCTTCACAATTCATCCTTTCATACTTCATCCTTGAGGTTAGAAATAATCGTTATTTTTCCTTAAAATAAATTTAGATTTTTCGTTCAAAAGAAACACATGCGGAATAATTTTCAAATGTCGTTCTATAGTTTTCTTTGCCAAAATTACCTTTTTTACTATTTAGCAACTCTCTGGTAAAAGGACACCTCTCCCTAAAGGACACTCTGGCTCTGCAACTAGTCATTTACAGAGAGGTAGTTCTACTGTACATATAAACACAGTATTATAACGAGCAATTTAAAATTCTTTAAGAAGACCGTATACATTTACTGGTCATCTCAGTAACCAATCTGTGCCCTATTCATAGACTCCTGTCTGGATACATTGTGTGTGTTCAGAAATGCTTCGAAGCTGTGTACAGGGCCAATGAGGATGTAGCGGAAGATGTTTTGATCCAACACATCTTCACCATCGGAGAGTTTCTGCTGCACTGGCCAAATGGTGCTGCCCTTGAGAACATATTTGACCTCCTTCACTCCTTGGTAACATCTTCCTTAGGTATGTTCTTCTGCTTTTCCTTTCTACAGGTTTGCCATGGGTGAGACCTTTTTTTTTTGCTTATCCCTAGTACATGTGGTACAGGCCATGATGATAATCATGGTGGGTAGAAATAGGCGACTGCTTTTACTGTAAGTGCAACCACATGTCTACACATGTGAAAAGCAGTTTGACTTTGCACTTACAAATGTGCCAGAGCCCCGTTTGGTTACTTGCACTCGCTGGTGGGGTTAGACTTTTGCAAGAATCGGGGGCCATTGGAGCATTATTTTTTTAAACATAAAAAAAAGTGCCCAATGCTGGAATTGAACCCGGGTTGTAGCGGTCAAAAACTAACGGTTTAGACTGTCCTTCCACCGACCCCCCCACTGACAAACATTTGTAAATTATTTTTATAAAGCACAAAAAAATTGTTCTTCTAAAAATGGAACACCCTCTGTATATGTTGTCAATTTTATTGAAGTCTTCTATCTTGGTTGCTACAGCCTGTTATTCATTGGGGGGGTGGAGAATGTTATTGTATCCCCTAATTATATGGTTGTGTTGGTGGCAGATCTGCGGAGGCCAGTCACCCAGAAGATGAGAGCCATCGCCTACATCTCCCTGGGTAAACTCAGTTTGGTGGACGAGGGGCTTGCTGAACGCTCCCTGCCCATCCTGGTCAAAGAGCTGGGTAATGCCATGATGGGGAGTCAACCTTCCAGAATCAATGCCATGTTTGCCTTAACAGACCTGTGCATGTCTTATACCACCCTGGTTGAGAAATACATTTCCACCATGTTCTTGCAACTGCGCGATCCCTCCCCGTGTTTCCGCAAGCTAACCCTGCAACTTATAACCTTTCTACTCCAAGAAGACTATCTGAGATGGAAGGGTACTATTTTCTTCCGGATTCTTGTTGCCCTTCTAGATCCCCTCAGGTCCATCCAGAATCTTACCTACTACCTCCTCACAGATATCCTGCACCCTAAAGACCCTACAGTCTACTATTACCAGTTCTTAGATGCCATGTTCCACTATACCGGCTGCAAGGTCTTCTTGGACCAAAGTTTTGACATCTCTGGCCCGGAGAGAGTACATTTACGGGTGCAGATTTACTCCTTCATGATCCTTCGGATGAATGAGCGCCAGAGGTTTACTCTCACCACGAGGCTCTTCAGAGAGGTTCTGGTGCCATTTCAAGAGAAGCGGCTGCCCTTTGAAGGCAAATACTGCGATCTCTTTGAGGACATTCTCCGAGTACTGATGCACCCCAACATCAGGTTGTCTGGAACACATG